ACCCAGTCCCTCCCCCCCCCCCCCCACTGCTACTCTTCCCATCTGGCCACACTGCTTAAACACCATCCTAAACAAATGAGTGTAATCAGAGTATTATTTCCTATAAGGGACCATCACATTTCAGTCACTCGGCTTTACCCAGAACTTCCTCCATAATGTGAATGGTGAGACTAGAACGTTATGCCTCTCATTGTGAAGTTTTATATACCTAAGCTTGAGACCCAAGAAACAGATCAACAGAAGGCAGATTCTGATTGTCCTCCATCCTGTTATTTAAAGAGGTCTGATCAGATTCAGACAGTCTTAAGATGGTCATAAGTGAAGGTGAAAGGTCATACATGAAAGGGAAGGTGTTTGTGCCTGAAACCCCAACTCTGCCACTAATTAGCTTCAACTCTCTGGGCCCACTTTCATCACTTGGAAAGGAAGATGTTGCACTGGACCTTAGGGAAAAGCTAACCACCCAGAAGCTAACCCTGACCTCCACATGGGCTTTGGTTTTAGCCTGTTTTGACCTGCACGAATCTTGTTTTGATTTTGGTTTAGTTTTTAAATCTGATATATAAAACTTGAGATTTCACATTAAAAATTATATTTGTTTCTCCCTGAAAATCTGAAATTGTATCATCATTGGGCCTGTTTTCCTTCTGGTATCAACAAAAACCATCAGCTATACCTGTGCAATAGCTGCCCCCTTCAGATGGGGTATGTGTTCACTAGTTCCCCACAGTACCTACCACTCCCTGTCGTCTCACACCCAGTCTGTTCCCTCGCTTACTCTACTTGCACGGTCTTGCAGGTATCTGGGTTTGCAATCCCAGGACCAGCTCAAATGCTCATTTGTTCATTTATTCATTCTTTTTTTTTATTCAGTCAACCTCTATTCAATGCTTATCCACATGCCATTCTATGCAATATACTTACAGTCTAAACAGAAGTCTGTGAGTGACAGAATTCTGTCTTAATTTCTCCAAACCCAATTAATTTCCATTATTTCTAAAGCTTTCTTTCTTCTTGGTGTCCACTTAGGATTCTACAGTTTGCTAAGCAGCAGCTTCTCCTGGCATAAGACCCTCAAGTCTCCTCATCAGACAAATTGGGACCATGCTTAGTGCCCTGCACCCACAGTAAGAAGGAGGACTCAGCACGCTTGGTCCAGCAGGTAGGACCGGAACGCACTTCTCAGTTATGCAGCCCATCACTGAGGAAAAATTCTATAAAATCAGAAATCAACATCTAAGAACTAATGAGTAGAGGGAAAAGTTTGGTGTTCTTTTTCTTTTACTAATGTTTACCTGCTATAGCATTTAAAATACCCTTGCCATAAAAGCCTTATTCATGAATGATACAAAACAAAAAAATTCATAGCTTAAAAGAGTGTCTGTTGTAAAAATTCATATTTACAAGTGTCTATGAAACCTTTGACTGGTTTTAGTGTGGCCTCTTTTAAGATGAACTATTAGGGAACTAAATATATGCTTTAGGTGACCTGAGACAATTCCTATTTAAAGTCTATGTCTCCAAGGCCGTTACTAATTGATTCTTGAAACTTCTTTGCTGAAATAACCTTGTCCCACAGGCAACTGTACTTCAATCATTTCTTATTTCACTTGAAAATTACAGAATTTTATATAGAAAAAGCTGGTATACTTATTAAAACTATCTAAAATAACAAATAATTGTTTAAATGTTTCTTATGTAACATGAGAAAAAGCAAGACAAATACTCAAAATATTACTTTATATATGTTTTGTCCTAAATAACGTGAAGTAAATAAAAATGATTGCAGCCTTTCTGGAGTGTGATTAAGGAAAAGAAGCACCACATTAGCAAGAGGACACTTGGATTATACTTTTGTGCTTTCCACTGTCACCCACTGTGACTTTGGGCTGGTCACTTAACCTTTCTAAACTACAATTTCCTTGTCCATGTGATGGACAGTTATTACATAGTGCCTTCTAAATACCAAGTTCCATCAGACACTGACATACAACTCTTAGCAAAAGGTGGGTGGCAGCTCTGAACCCATTCCCTGCCAGCTAATTTGCCAAAAGCAGATTCAAGAAAATGCCAATTTACCAAATTCCTTTCTCCTTTCATTATTACACCGTTTCCAGCAATGTGCCCTGGATATGTTGGCTCTCTTAGCCTTTGGGGATTTCTGTGCAGTTTTAGTTGATACTTTTTTCCCTCTGCTTCATGACTGCATTTGTAGGAATTCCCAGTTTGTCTTGGCCTTAGCCCCTCTGATGAGGGCAGTGGAGCAAAGTCAGCACACAGCCAAATAGGATGGACATAGACTGAGGGACATGAGATTAGAGCCATGAAGATTCTCCAGACTCAAGGCAAATCTATTCAGCATTTTAAAATATTAGGCAGATTGAGCATTTTGGAGAACTGCTTCATAGTGTCAGCTTCCTGGCATGGTCCTCCCTCTTAGTGATCTTAGCTTCCCACGGAGGAAGCAGACTAAAAACAAAACAGAAAGTAAATAAACAATACAATTACGAAGTGTGATAGGTACTATGGGGGGAAAGGGGGGTGCTCAGGCAGGGAAGAGCTAGAAGCTTCTTTAGAAAGGGTAGTCAGGGGAGGTGTGAGAGTCAGGAGAGCTCTTCCCACGGCCCTCCCCTTCCAGGCATGTGATAGGATTGCACGGCCTGGGTTTCTCTGAGTCTGCATGGGGACATAAGATGTGATCTGGCCAGTAAGTTGTGAGTGGAAACAATATGTATTGCTTCCACGCTGGAGCATTTAATGACTGTTGCAAGACTGCTCCCTTTCCCTGTGACATTCTGTCTGGTCATGTGGTTCAACATGTTGTGTCTCCTTCAACCTGGAGCTTATGTGACTTCAAAGAACAGAGCCCCCAGTCAACCCATGAGCAAATAACAAACTTTTATTGCCTTAAGCCATTGAAATATGGAAGCTATTTGTTAATGCTGCCTAACTGAGACTATCCTGACTCTGACAAGAGGCATTTCTGAAAAGGCAGAAGGATGATTTATAGAGGCTTTAAGACAAGAAGCTTTAAGTTTGGCTCGTTCATACAATTGAAAGAAGGCCAATATGGCTTGATTACAGTAAATCAGGAAAAAGAAGCATCTTTAGAGTTCCTTCTACCCTAAGGTATCAGGCTCTTAGGTTGTTCTGATGTTTATACTCCTGGCAATGCTTCAAGACAGGTTAAGTAGCTTGACTCTAAATGCCTTTGATTTGTTTATACAAATCAAACTCTCATATTTTATCTCTTGCCTCTGGATTATGATAGTTTTATCAAGAACTTTGCATGTGGGCTATTGATATGATAATATAATCCTAATGCCTTCTCAGGAGCTAAGGGCCTCTATCTTTTCAGTCAATCCTGAGAGGTACTTGGGTACAGAAGCCATTCACAGCTGAGATGAGGCTCGGGATGGGCAGCCCACAGCACTTTGCAATGAAAATATGTAACATTGTGCATTTTTTGAGCTCTCAGCTTTCCATAATAATTTCTAATATTCTGGCAACAGAATCTAGGGAAAAACCCAAACTTTTATGGAACTCATCATAGCGCCTTTAATGTTTATGTAGGATAGATTGTCTTTTGCACTTAAGATCTCATTTGCAAACAAAACAAAGCAAGAACCCCTTAGCAAAAAGCAAATTGCATGATATGCAGTTTATCTTCTTTGGGAGAAAAGGAGAGCTGAGTCAGCCCTCCTGGGCTATGACAACTAAGGTGGTTCTTTATCCTTGACGCTGCTCAGATAGAGCCACTGACATTATAACTGCCTTTATTGAAGTTTGGTAGATTTAGAGGAAGTACATCCATCTGATATTACAGTCATTCTTGTACAGCTCTTAAAGTCTTAAGGATTTTTATTGGAGGTGAATAAAATCCTACTTAAGAAAAAGATAGTAGGAGAAGGGAAGGAAAATGGTTCTAGAATAAAAATTGGGTCCTTAATATGGTCCGAGCCAGTGCTAGGTGCTTTTATATGTACTATTATCCCCAGGCAGTGGAAGCAGCAGCTCAGAGAGGTTACGATCACCCAGCCAGTGACTGGCAGACCGAGGAAGGGACAGAGCTCTTCTCCCTCTGAAGATGCTCAGCTTTCCTCTCCACCTTTGAGACTAGACTGTAAAAGTCTCCTGTACTATCACCACCGTCAAATCCAAAGTAGCCAAATCCTAAGCTTCTAAAATCTCCGGTGCTTTCTTCTATAAGACAAACACTAGTTTGCTATCTATTTATTGCGTATGTAGATTCAGAAGAGCCTCTAAACAAAGCTGGTTGTAATAAGCTGTGCTTTGCTCAGTGTGCATCTCCCCTTTGCTCGGCCTCATCCTGTGTAATTAGCACAGTCTCAAAAATAGAAGTTCTCCATGACATTAAAATTCTTACACAGCACACCCTCTAATTATTTCATATCTTCACATTAGGGACTAAGATACTCATGGTGAGGGTGGAATTCTGCTTGTTATTTAATTACTTATGGAAGGAGCACAGGAAAACCAAGAAAAGGAGATTTTTAAAGCAATTGATAATTGAGTCCGAGATGCATCCACATAGACCAAGGACAGGGTACTTTTTTTCTCAACCCTCTCTCCCGCCTGGCTTCACACCTTATCTCTCTGGGCCCCGGACTCAGTTACATCTGTTATCATCTCTTCCTATTGTTACTGGATTCAGGGCACACTCAGCTCCTGGCTGAGGAGCCCCAAAATTGACCTCGAACTCACAGATACGGCTGCCTACCCCCAGACAAAAGCAAACCGCTGAAACGTCAAATGTTGGTGAAAATAAAAGTCATCTTTTATTCAGGCATACTGGTAGCCTGAGGAGAGATGTTGGGCTAAGCCATCTCCCTGGTAAACCTGAAGGAGAACGGCCAGGCTAAAGCCACCTCAAAGACTCAGGTTTACCGAGGGGTTTTAAAGAGGGGCTGAGGGAATGGAATGTGGGGAAATGAAAAAGCGGGAGGGAGGCGTTATGTGAGCGGCGAGGGCTTCATGCAAGGTCTCAGGTGCAGTCTCGCCAAGACTCTGTCTGGTTTCTGCTCCCATCTTTGCTGTTATCTCAAGCTCTGGGTAGTATGTGCGAGTCTGCCACTTCGGGCTGTTTGGAAAACAACTTCACATTTCTGTAAATAATGTCATCTTTCCCCATAACCAAGGTTCAAAATATCAAATAACCATGGGAAAAGAGGGAACTCCTAGGAATGCATGCCAAGAAAAATACTGTCTTTTAAACATCTTTTAGAGCCCGTGTGGTTTTAGGTCCCAACATGGCTTCAGTCCTGCTTCCTCCAGCACTATCAAGGACTTCAAGACCCACTCAAAATACTTTCCACAGGCCTTTCCAGATGTCCAGGTTAAAATTAATCTCCCTCTTCCCGTAACCCAGGGCAATCCGTACTAATCTTATAGCAGCTCTCTGCCTAACATTGCAGGGATGGGGGCAGGATAGAGACTGATGGTGAGTCATTCAAATACATTTTCTCTTTTTTCCTTCTGGACACATAGGTAGCATTTTCTCGCCTTCCTTGAATTTGCACGTGACCACATAACGAATTTCTAGCAAGGGGAAGGGAGTGGAGTTAAGCCCTTCATTGGGGGTCAGGGTTTTGAGGAAGGAGGTGTGCTTTGTCGTGCTCTTGGCCACCATCAGTGAGAGAACTCAGAGGCCCTTAGGGTGGGTGAGCCATGGACTGGAGGGAGTCTGGGCTCCTGAGTCACCAAGTGGAAAGCTGTCTGGGCAAGCAGCAACACCCCCATCAGGTTGTTATGCAAATAAGAAATAGCCATCTATTTTGTTAAGGCTCAGACATTTAGAGCTTGTTTGTTACAGCTGTGAGTGTGGTCTTACCTAACACAAGCTGTGCACGTTTGTAGGTGTATGCTTGTGTGTGCGGGATTCCCTCTCTTTCAGAAGCCTCAGAAGGATGGGGACTAAAAAAATCATCCCTAACTGTGTGTAAAATTAAACTGAATTGGCGCCTCATTTGGAAGTGGAGCAGATGGTCATTAAAATGAAGAGTGGAGGATACTCTAAAACATCTCCAGCATTGGGAATGGCATTTTCTCATTTGCAAGCAGCTGTCTAGAAGTTTGTAAACAATCTCATAGGTGACTAATTTGGAGTAGAGAACAAAAGGAATACCCAGTTAGTTTCCATAG